GGAAGGATATCTCTTGGACTAGCAAAGACATTTCGCAAAGCTCTCCAGAAAGAATTGATAACCGTTTTTTTGTGGATACGGCTATCATAAGGCCATTTAAAGCATCACACTTTTTCCTTTAATTACTCCTGAGCTGTAAAGTCTTACGGCAAATGATTGTTCTCCAGGATTATTTGATTCATATCAATCCATGAAACTCTAAACCTGCTGCAACCATATCAAGATGATAAATAAAAATAGGACATTCAAGTGATTCTGAAAAATGTAATGTGCATCCCAAAAGCAAAATAGAAACAAAGTAAATGGATCATTCTGTAGTCAGTTGTCTGAATCTTTCCTTTTGTGTTGTATGATTATAACATTTTTAAAACCTTAAAATAAGAAGAAAGGATGCTATCGTCATGACAGAATGAGCACAGGAGAAGTTAATATTCAGAAAAATGGCAATTATTCTACAGCTACTGTATGGCTTTCAGGTTATTCTTCAAGTTGAACTAGACGTTCTGTTTCTCAGTATTCAGCGTGCAGCCGTGTGGCTTCTGGACCAGTACTACAACGACTTCCCCGTCTACAACCCTGCCCTGCTCAACCTGCCCAAGTCCATCCTCTCCAAGAAAATGTCTGCCTTCAAAGTGTACAATCTGGGGGAAGGTAAAACACAGAATGTACTCTTCAACCTTCTCCATTTAGTCCGTTCTGCACCAGAACGATTCCTATTGTGTACATACCATAACAAAACAATAATATAATGATACATGTGAGTCTTACACTCTAAAAAAGAGTGTAATTAGTATGCCAGTTCCTCAAATAATACTTTGCTATCATGCCAAATGTGGGAAATTCTTTAATTTGATTGTTTCTGTCCGCAGAGAACAGCACCAATAACTCTACAGGCCAGTCCAGAACCATGATAGCTGCCGCTTCTCGAAAAAGAGACAACTCCCACACGGAGTATTACTACGAGGAGGCCGAGGTGGAGCGGAGGGTCCGCAAACGTAAAGCCAGGTGAGGACAGACCCACACACATAGAACGCATACATATAAAGATACAAACTGAATAAGTACCAGAAGTACTTGATATGTGTTATGGCCCATTTAAAATCAGAGATTAGATTATTACTGCAGTAATGTGTTTATTAAAGCAAGATTTATATTCTGATCAGGTTCATATCAGTATGTAGTGTCTCTACTGGGACATGTCTCCATGCTTTAATGTTCAAAAAGCTCTTTATGTTTCTCATACTGCAGCACCTCTTTGCACCCTCTGTCTGAAACCAGAGCCCAGTCTGCTCTGATTGGTTAGCTGGCCGGCTCTGTTGTGATTGGTCAACGGCTTAGAGATGTCCCGCCCCTTAGCCTATCACGTAAAATGCGTTGGAGCGCTAGCATGTTAAGGAAGTAAACAAAGGAGTCCAATAGAGGTGTTTCAGGCGGGGGAGAAACTCTGGGATTTTAGTCTTTGCAGACCATTTACATGCGCGAAAACTTTTAACATACTTCAGGGAAAGGGAAACTCCAAAAAGCTTAACAGGACCCCTTTAAACTCTAATGATTTTTTCAAACGTGCTTTGTGCTTTTCACATTATGTGTGTAAATACTGATGATATCATCTTTAAACCTTGGTGTCTCCTGGTTTCTCCTCGCAGGCTGGTGGTGGCCGTAGAGGAAGCCTTCACCCACATAAAGCGTCACCAGGACGACGAGGGGTCCGTGTCGTCCCCCAAGCACCCGCGGGAGGTGATGGACCCCCGGGAGGCGGCCCAAGCCATCTTCGCCCCCATGGCCCGGGCCATGCAGAAATATCTCCGCGCCACCAGGCAGCAGTCGTACCACAGCATGGAGAGCATCATCAACCACCTGCAGTTCTGCATCACCCACAGCATGACCCCCAAGGTGAGCAAGGCTGCTTCCACTTTCTATCATCGTTATTCTTATTTTAAATCTTTAAGCGCTTTGAGTACCAGGAAAAGCGCTATATAAATCAAATGTATTATTATTATTATTATTAGTATTTATTATAGCTTTTAATTTTTTGTTTTAGTTTATCAATAAATGAAATTATAATCCTTTCATATAATTTTGAATTGTTTTATTTATTTTTTATTAATTGTGTTTTGATTTTATTTGTCTTGAGTTAGTTTTTGTATTGTTTTAATTTATAAATTAATTCAATGATAATATTTTTCAAATAGTTATATTTCAATATTTGTATTTATATGATTTGTATTAATTTAATTGTATATTGTTTTAATTGGGTTATTAATGATAGCTTTCAGTTCTTCTTGCATACATATATAATACAATTATTAATCAGTAAAATATATATTTTTTTATAGTGTTTGTTTTTATTTTGTATTTAATCGTTTCACTTTTTTTGTTCTAGATTTATTTTAGTTTTATTTTAGTCTTATTTTTTTACTTCTGCATATCATGTCGCCTTTTTTTACTCAGATTTTTTCTTCCACTTTTTCTTAATATAATTCAAGACGTCATCTTTCTGTTTACTCCTGCTCAGGCTTTCCTGGAGCTGTACCTCAGCCCGGGTCCCACCCTGCAGTACCTGGACACCAGCAGGGGGCGCCAGTGGACCCTAGTGAGCGAGGAGCCCGTGACCTCCGCCCTGCGTCAGGGTCAGGTCTTCTCCCTGAGACGCCTCGACTTCTCTCTGGTCGTCACGGTGACCCCCCTCCCTTTCCTGAACCTTGGGGAGGAGTTCATCGACCCCAAAAGACACAAGTTTGTCATGAAGATGCAGTCAGAGACGTCTGTGTAGGAGCAGGATGAAATAACAAGTCTTTTTTTACCTTTTTGTTAGTTCTTTTTTTATGTTTTTTATCTTTTTGTAAGCCTGACGCCCAAACCACTCGGCCGAAATATCAGGAAGTGACAGAGAAGACGCAACAGAAATGCCTCATCGCTGCCCTTGTTCCTCAAACAAACATTAGTCACACTCCCTATAACTGCTGACTGGTTCCTTCTGATATTGCACTACAGACTGCTTCCAGTTCCCATGATACTGACATTTAAGGGCTTTCTTAACGTGGTATTTCAACACACTTAAAAAACTATTTGACATTTTAGATTCAACACCTTTATTCAAGAGAATATGGTAGGATGTGGTAGACTAACATTTCACCTCAGTGAGCACTGACCTTTTTAATGCACAACAAACTTTGTCAGATAGTCCTACTTCTCTTTTTACTTGAACTTCTAGTTTGCTTTTGAATGCTATAAAAGGGCATAATCAAGCGTCCATTTGAAGTGCCCTCGTCTTTTATCACCTATTGGACTGGATTCTACAGGTGAAACTGCGTCTTATATTTGTATTCGACTGAAAATTGGATTCGAAAATGTTCCACTACAAGTTTGAAGTAAGAAACACTGGATGGACTTTAATGCACTGAGGATTTGTGCTTTTTTGTATTTCCGGCTCAGGTTGTGTTGAATCATCTAGTGAAATGCAATCCTGCACTAATAAGAAATATGACTTTTCAAACCAAGTGTAGGAGCAGTTTGAATCCAGTTACACTGGCAGCGAATTTTTTTTCACCTACAGTACAAGGCTGGAATTGGACTTGATGGACTCTTAACATAATTTAGCCAAGTACAACCAATGTGGTTCATTTTGCCAGCTTCATGTTGATTAATGTCTTTGATATTTTAAAGTGAGTGTGTCAATGTGTGTGTTTTGGTACTGGAAAAAGCGGCCAACTGCCTCATGGCCTTAGACCCAAAAGCTCCCTCCATGTGATTGATTCAAATGTTTTATATTAGTAACATTCTCAGCTTAAGCACAGTCTGAATTAAGACAGGTCAAATGGTATTTCCCCTAACAATGTAATATTTAGTATTGCACTCCTATAACACTGTCACACTCATGATGGACAGAAACAAATGTTATTCCACATATTGACTTGCCTTGGTTGCAGCTTATCAACTACATTTCCCACAATGCAACTCTACCGCCAACATTTCATTTACATATTTGGATGCTAGTCGCAGCTTATGCCTTTACATGTTAATTCAACTATTTCTCACTGTTGTGCAGCACGAAAAACAGACTATAATTTCTTAATCGGGACACTTTGGTGTACACAGTCATCATACAGTATGTATTGCTAAATTAAATTAACCTGACACAAAAAGTCAAAACCCCTTAGATAAGAAGTTGATTATTTTTTGCTTAAATAATTTATCAGTAATCAAAATAGTTGCAGATTTTATTTGATGAACTAACAAATAAAAGACTAATCATTCCACTTTTAGAGAACTAATTGGTGCCGTTTATACTAGGGGTCATCAGGGGCCCCTTAGAGGCGAATGGGGCCACATATTGTGTCTTATGTCAGTCAAAGATGTCCTTTTTTACACTACAGATAGAGATTGTCTTGCCACTTACAAGCAGTGTACTTTTCCTACGATTGTATTTTCTTGTGTTTTGATGGATCACTTTGTTGTACTCGATTTAACACTCAGAAGAACAGTGTCTTTTACATCAAGCTTGTACATACTGTGCTTTTTTAGGACTGAGTTGATGTAAAAGGTTTTCTAATAAATGATCTCATCCAAAAGAAAATGGTCCCGTGTTCATCATAAGATGTCTACATTATTTCTTCTTCAGGAAGTGACACTTATGTGTGGGAGGTTGTGGTTAACGCTAGAGTGATGTGTACGATTGTCCATTGCTATGAACATTATGTAAACTCCTACTCCTTGTATCTAAAGCAATTATAAACAACTAAATTAAAGAAATAACAATATAAAATAATACAAAGAATGTACAGATTGGGTTGGCTACTACTGCATAGAAAATAAACTACTTAAGTTTAAGAATTTACACAGGTATACAAAGAATTACCTTAAAAAGTGCATATATTTAGGCTGATAATTGTGATAACAAAGCCTTATATCATAAAGAAGGGAAAATATGTTAAAATCCTAATAAGAATGTGTGCATATGAATCATGATACATTTGATGAAATAACTCGGGTATGTACATTTGGGTCGTTCCTCACACAGACCACGTGTTTTAGACAGAAAAAGGAAGTAGAAGTTAACAGACACTGGTCTCCGTCTGTGTGTTGGATGCCAGGCACGATGAAACTTCTACTCGTCCTTCTATTCCTCCAAGGTAAAGTATGTCTTGGTTTTATTTGCTGAACATATTGAGCTGTTGTGTAAACAGTTGTGTCAGAACTTGAACATATTCAAAATGCTGTTCACCGCTGAATGGTTGACTTCCTGTTACAAGAGTTACAAAAAAAGCCTCAATGTGTAACACTTGTCACTCATAATGTTGTATTAAATGTAAGCAATCCCTAGAGGATAACTCGTACTGACTGTTGTAATTATCATATCAATACTTTCCTTTACAGAGTCTTACATTTAATACACTACTTGGCTACCATTTCAAACAGTGCCTAGGCTTTGTGAGTGTTAAGAAATAACGTTATGAAAAAATACATTTGTACAATATCATGGTGAAGTGTGTTAAATAAAAAAAGAAGTCAGAAGTTTCGTAAAAAAGTAATAGGAAATCTCATAGTACAGTATGTAAGTAAGTCATAATTCATTGCAGTTTATCATTAAAGAGGGTAATGTAAAAAGTAATTGTATAGTATGTCAAACATACTGTAAAGTGTCATAGAGTAATAAATGGTATTAGTATATTTAAGTAAAGTAGGCTATGTATCCTAATTAGAAAATAAGTCGTAATATTGTCTTGAAAGTCATAGTATAACAAGTCCAAAATTCTTCTAGCATGAAGGATGCATGGCAATCCTACGATTGTATGTCAGAGAGGCATAGTAACATACATGAAGGAATATGAAAAACGTCCATAGTGTTGAATGTCGAAAAACATGAAAAACAGTCACAAAAACAAGTCATAGTGTAGTATGTTAACTGAATGAAAGTTAATTAAGCAAAAAAGCTACAGATAATTGATCAAATATATGGTATAACATGTCAAAAACAACATAGAGAAAACGACATGTCGATAACTCATCAATTTTATTTATCAACATGAAATTAGACCTATTCATAGCCTCCAGGGGGGTATACTACGAAGCAGGATTTTCTCTTAGCAGCTAAATTCACGGAAAACTCCGGCTTTCCGGTCCTACGAAGCTGGTTCTCTTTTTAGCAGGCTAGATCTCCATGGTAACTTATGCTTAGCAGCTAACCTGGTCGGGACCAGTATAGGTTGCAGGCTAAGAGCTCAACTCAGTGAAAGCACCGCCTGCTGACCAATCAGAGCTCAGTGTGCGGAGTTTAAAACGATCAAGTCATATTACAGGAGAAAGGAAATACAGAAAAGCTGCCGTCGCAGGAAAGACGGCCGGCAAAAATCACCGACTGTGTGAACGTGAACATTAATAGAATATCACCTCCCATCTTCAGAGCAATCTGACTATTATAACATTAGCGTTAAGAAAGCTTACTTCAATATATGCCACAACATAAGTAACCGGATCAGAGTAACATTAAGTAGGCCTACAGTCCGCGGCATATCACTTCATAATGTATCATATATGTTCCGTATCTGGCCGTGCAACACTCACAGTGTCACATACTGTATGCAGAAGTATTATTTTAAGCAACACATTAAGTTGACGAAACACTTGAGACAAATGTAATTAAAGTCAGATCGTGTTTTAGACGGGGCAGTGATATCATAAACCTGTTAATGTACGCATTCAAACACTTTTTCTTTTGCCAGCTGTATTCACCTTGCAGGTGCAGACTATGTGGCATGTATCCTGGATAAAGTGTTTAAGACATGGATGTTTAAAGTTTAACTTCTTCATTTTTGACTAGTATTAAAGTTCACTTTTCATTCAGGAAGTATGACGCTGCGCTGTCAGTGCGCTTCTCCATGTTTGTGATTGGTCGAATGCTCCAAATACCACCCCTTTCATGTGAACGCGCACCTAACTAGATAGGACACGGCTGGCTTGAGCGATCCACTTGATAACCCGCGTCGTAGTACAGTTTAGCGAGAGCGCGTATGTTTTGGATTAGGCCAACCGGCTAACTCAAACATATCCAGGTTAGGTTGAACAAGCTTCGTAGTATAGGCCCCAGGTGATGCTTTGTATGATATGTTATCCATTCACATTTAATATAGCACCACCATCAGGTCAAAATGGCAGTTTATCCAATACTTAATGACTTGTAAAACAGAAAACTTTCCCATCTCCCTCAGGTATACTTTATGCAGTGGCGGCTGGTAGAAAATATTTTTGGTGGGGCTTTTGATATAGTGAGTAAAACATATTTTTTTGGGAGAAATGACCCCTTAAATTAGGACTTCTGGTAATGTAATGGCGCGTTTCCAGTGCAGCGCGGAGCTCGCTTTAATGCTGCGTTCAGACCGGACGCGATGCGAATATTCGCTTCGCTCTAAAACGCTCCTATCGCATCGCTCTAGTCGCTCGAGTTTCACCGCGGCTGCCAGCTGTGTTTACTCGCATCATTCAAACAAGAAGCGCTGGCTCGGGAGCTACAACTACAACAAAATGAACATATTTTACCGTGATTAAATTGTAATTATTTTTATGTTCACACAAATAATTATGAGACATATCTATGCCCATACTTTTGCAACGTGCTTGTTGCTGCTGTTTGTCTCGGGGCTCCGCCCGGTAATGATAAACTAATGCCACGGGCAAGGCCAGGCAGGAAACATGTGACTTATCAGTAACTTTAGACATCGTAACACAATTTTAAACGAGATTTTATTGTAGATTATACATTTTACTGATACCAATTGTATGATATTTACCTTGTTCATTAAAAATAAAAATATAAAATATATATATATATATATTTTTTTTTTGAATGTGGGAAGAGGTGGGGCGGCTCCCCTATGGGCCGGCCACCACTGACTTTATGCTTTGTTTGTGTTAGCAAATGTTAGCATGCTAACACGCTAAAGAAGGTGGGTTAACAACAGCAGTGAAAAACATGGAGATGTCCACCAAGCTAAGAATCCAGATTGGTGCTTAGTTGTCTTTGCCATCTTTTTTTTGTGTCAAATGTCACCAGAGATAAGTTACTGAATACACCTAAAACTCTGTAATGTTGATGCATTATTGTTTTACAGTGACACCAGGTGAATCCAGGGAAGTCACTGGGTACATTGGGGAGAACGCCACCTTGCTCTCAGGAGCCGACCTGAATAGGACTCTTTCCACGATCAACTGGTCAATATACACAAATAACACCTATATCGCCACCTTATCCAAAGGGACAATACAGCTGGAGTGGTTTGACCGATATAAAGGGAGACTCAGTCTTAACAACTCCTCAGGTGAAAGACGAATAAGTGTAAGGGAATCATTTCTTTATTTCTCTCGTGGCAGTGTCTCTTCAAATGTCTTTGTCTTTTTTTTTTTCAGGTGACTTAACTATCCGCAATTTGACTTCAAACGATGCCATGCAGTACAATGTAGGCCTCACCGATACTGAGAGACACAATAGCGCACACAAGATTGATCTCAAAGTGAAACGTAAGTGAGAATTAAAATGTTTTATTGTCAAACATTGTCTTAGGACAGCTCGCGTTCCTTATATCTGATCAATCTTTGGAAACATTCAGAATAAAACAACAAACCTTTGATAAAATATCTTCAATTAATTTCTTACACAGACTCTTCCTACACTGGAAAAAATGCTTCTCCAAAAACGAATTGAAAATAAAAGTTACAAGGCGTTTTCATTTGAAATAAGTACACAAATCTGCCAATAGAATATGTGAAAAATAAGCTTGGTAAGATTTCTTGAAATAAGAAGGGATATTTAGATAAATCAGATGTTTAGCAGGGAAAAGTTATTGTGAACTATATTTGACCAGAATCAGGAAATGCTGTGTTACAATATAAGCCGCAAATGTGTTCTGTTTTCTGGTGGTTTTCCAATAAATATGTGAAAAGAAATCTGAGATACAACTCAAAACAAGATCTTTTGACTTAACAAGATGACGCATTGTCAAAAAACAAGACCCGATATCTCACTGCAGTGTTACTTCTGAAGTTATTCTGTCTTATAGCAAGTGTAAAGACACATTCTGACTAGATATTGGACAAATATACTTGGCAAGATTTCGTGTTTTTGTAGTGTAAGTTGAACATGTTGCTAAAAAAGCAGATTTGGAAATTCTGCCGAATATATCACGTACAATTTCAATTTAAACCCCCTGCAGAACGCCTCCAGAAGCCGACGATAGACACTGCCTCTCGTCATGCAGCAGCAGGAAGCTGTTGGTGGCAGCTGAATTGCTCCTCAACGGATACAGTCAACGACTTGTTCTGGCATACTGAAACTCCCAGTGTGACTTTCATCAGCGAGACCCATCCTAAAGGCGGCTTTGCAGTTATTGTTGCCTTTCTGAACAGCACAGAGAACAAGGCTGAATTCAGGTGCACCTCCATCAGGAACAGGGAGAACAGCAGGGAAAGCGCCTCCAGTGTTGTCACTTTAAAATGTGGAGGTAAGGTCAAGAAGGAGTTAAAAGAAAAAACATGTAGCACTGGAAAAATGCAGCTCCAAAAACAAGGTGTTTTCATTCGAAATCAGTCAAATCTCCCAATAGAAGTGAACATTAGCTTGGTAAGATATACCAGATAAGTCAGAACTTGTAATTAGCGAGGAAAACCTATTTTGAGCTATATTTGACCAAAATCAGGAAATGTGTCACAAAATAAGCCAGAAATGCTCTAAAGTTTTCTGTTTTCTGATATTAGCTCTAATACAAATGTAAAAAAAACCTTCTTTCATCTGAGATTCAACACAAAAGAAATGTTTCCAAGATGCGTTGTCTAAAAACAAAAGCCTATATCTCACTGCATTGTTACTCCTTAAGTTAAGAGGTCTTATATCAAGTGTAGAGACATTTTCTTTGTCGAAATTAGACAAATACACTTGCTTAGATTTTGAGTTTTTGTAGTGTGCCAGATTCTAAGAAACTCATTATAATATTATTGTGTTCTTTCCCTTGTTCTTACAGATGACGAGTCGAATCCCAGGATGTATTATCTTGTTCTGTTTGTTTTGGGATTCTTCCTGGGAGTTGCCCTGACATGTTTAGTAATCTATCGGAGAGGTAACAGGAACACATCTTGTTTGGAGGGAAATTCTTACAGATCTACAGCATTAAATCATAATACTGCAGAATTCTGAAATGTAAGCTTAGACATAGCTAACTATAAAATAGAACCAATTAATGATTAAAATAACACATTTTGTGGCACCACACCAAAATTGGAGGTTTTAGAGCAAGATGACATTTGGGGATGAAAACGGATTAGACACTGTAAGATATATTCATTCATTTGATCTGGTTGCTTTTGTGTTTCTGTTACTGCTTGTTAACATCACGTCTCTCTTTTTCCCACAACAAGAAATCTACAAACTGCATAAAAACATCAACTTCTGAAGATGCCAACACTGTAGTGTAGTATGTGAATGGTAGTATTGTACAACTTCAAAAAGTGTAAGCAAATGTACAACAGACTAGTGGTGGTTCAAATGGTTCAAATATAACGAACGCTGCAGTCCGTTTATTATCTATTTAGGAAGCAAAAACACATGAACGTATTTTACAACAATAAATGAACACCTGTGCAATCTTACGCAAATATCCAAATAACCAAAACAGATCAAATGAATGTGTGGGAAAGTGATTTTTTTTTGTATCCGTTAAACACTTTTTTACTTTTGAAATTGCTACCATTTATGTACAAGTGTACATTTGTATCCATATTATGTCGGTATATGTATAATAATTGTGTTATTTAACCCTTGTGTTATGTTCACATTTCGCACCCTTTGGTAATGTTCGGGTCAAATTGACCCGGACATATTTCAGTGTGTAAAAAAAATACAGAATTCAACATGCACAATTCCTTATATATATTGTCTTTAACTCATTCCCCAACAATATAAATGAAATATATGATTAGTTTTTGAAAATACTCTTTGCTAGATCAAATTTAACAATGGAAGTGTCCATCGTTTTTTGTGATAAAAATGTAATTTATGTTAAAAAATGTAAATGATATTTTTTTTGTTTAATGTTTATTATTTTTAATCTGTCATATAATAATCAAAGCCCTGAAGGAAATAAAGCAATTTAGCAGCAATTGGAACACAAGAACCACACAGCCAAAAGTATTTGTCTGTGAAATATAGAGGGAATGAAACATCCATATAAATGACATAGCACAGATATAAACACAAAGCAAATAAAAACAATTAACAGTCACTATTCATAAAATACAGTATATCCGAAAATTATATTGATGAAGTGACGCTGCAGAACATCATGTGAGTCAATGGGCAGGTCCGTTTAGGAAACACATGATGTGCAGAACTTCTTTGTGTGTATAGCACAGATGTACTTGTTGCAGTTGCTGCATGTAGTCTGTGTCTTTGAGTCCTTTGAGGGTCCACAGACCTCACAGTTGGCTGTGGGGGTCTTCCAGAAGCTGACTGTGGGGGTCTTCTTGCGGCTGGCTGTGGGGGTCTTCCAGCAGCTGGCTCTGAGTCAAGTTCATCTTCCAATTTGCTGTCAAATTCTGAGTTTACCTCCACATTATCCTCATCTTCAGAAATGTCTTCCTGTCCCACTTCACCGTGTTCCTCTAATGCAGTGTTTCTCAAACTTTTTCATACCAAGGACCACTTAACCAATAAAAAAACACTCGCGGACCACCTAATTCCACAAATATCCAAAAACACATCGTTTTTTACAAATCGCCTGAAAATGGTACAAACAAGTGGCCACATGTTTGATGAAGGTGTTTATCTGGGCTATATCATGCAATCGAAAGTGAAACTTAAGCTCGCTCCATTGCGGAGATATTCCCGCGAGAGTGCGGAAAACTTTAATTAATTAATTAATTTAAAATGTGAAATTTTACCAATATACTCACGGACCACTAGGGGGCGCTCACGGACCACCAGTGGTCCGCGGACCACACTTTGAGAAGCACTGAATGCATTCCACTCACTCTCATCCATTATTAGCTCCAAGGCTCTGAGCAGAATATCTTTTGGCCATTTTGTTGGTAGATAATTGTAGTTCTGCACTACACTGTTACTACACTGAGGTTATGTCTCAGTTTAGTCCCTCCTCCCGCGTGCAGGTGCGAGGGGGGACAGTGCGAGAAAATGTAAAATGTTTATACATTTCTGGAAGATCTAAAATGTTTATAATGTAGGATAGTTTTGTGGACACACTACAAAGGGTAAAGATCAAGGGAAAACAGGATCAAACAGCTTCTCTATGCATACAATTGTGTGTGTGTGTGTGTGTGTGTGTGTGTGTGTGTGTGTGTGTGTGTGTGTGTGTGTGTGTGTGTGTGTGTGTGTGTGTGTGCGTGTGTGTCTTTAGTTTGTGTGTTTTTCTCTGTCTGTCTGTCCTGGTATTGTATCCGGGTCAGATTGACCCGAACCTCTTATGAACGACATAAATGCGGGTGGGCATTTTTTCATAAGTGGAAAAAAATAAAAACAATTCCACATGTCCTTCACAATAAGTAAGCCCCGGCCATTGAGTTTCAGGTTGAACGAAAATATCCTTATATTTTTTTTTATTCATTGACAATGGAAATCGGGTCAATTTGACCCGAACACCACACAAGGGTTAAGCAATTTTGTAGAACATTTTCTGTTTTTTAAAGGTCAAAAATACATTGTTTTTTAAGATACATTTTTGCACTTTTGTTTATTATTAACCACTTTGACTGAAAAAATGTATGTGGAAGATTGTGTTCAGTAACACCAGTACAGTCTGCATACAAACAATTTGAATTCGATTAAATACATGTTTGGTTTTTTCTTATACAAACGTTGTACTGTTGTGTTTAATCATTCACCGAACCAAACATCTGCACAATATTGATAAAAGCTTCCTATATTCATGTTTAGCATTGTTGTTCAATTCATACCAAATGTTAAATAAACCTTTAATAAAGCAACACACTTGCACAAAATGCTTAGAAATAAACATTGACAATAATTGTAATGTATTATAGTCATTTAATATGAAGACATTTGCACAGCAGGCTTAAACAATGAGGCACAAACGATTTGCATGGGATATTACAAAAAAATATAACCTCTGTATTTACACATTTTTACAACACTGTTCATCGAATAAAATGTGATCCTGTAGATTTGGCAGTTGAGATATAATAAAGGTTGTTTTTGAATGTGATAAAGGGAAAGTAAAAAACCCTTTAAGGCCAAAGACAGAATGACATTACCTTCTTGTAGTCCGTTTTGTGCTTATTGTATTTACTGATATTTTCTATATACATCATGCTATGACCCTCTAGGAAATGTCTTGATAGGGCGACACCGATTCATTCCTCAAGCGATTTAACTGGATCTTGTCGTACACCGTATTGGGCTAGATGGGTGATAAAAGGAGGAAAACAATCAAATATAGTGTCACAAGTTGACACCATTTTATAATAAGGGTAGTTCATTTACTCAGATTCTGCTTATTTATGCATGACTTATTATGATTCAGTGCAGGAATTAATGCAGCATGTAAAATAAATTCCTGTTGCAGACCGTTGACAAATTACCAAGTCCATGAGTTTATCTGATTGGTTCAAATGTAATGTAATAATGTGAATTCACAGTTACTTTAGTCATTCATAAAGTGACCAAATTGTCTTGATTCCAGATCAGTTATTTTTTAAATAAGGGAGGTCATTATGCGACTTTAATGGTGCTCCACCACCAGCTCATATGGCAACACTTCATCACATCAGTGTAAGGGAGGCTGTGGCGCAGTGGACTAGTTGGTGTTCGGATCAGGGGACCACAGGTTCAAACCCCACTGCAGTCAGCGTGTCGTTGTGTCCCTGCGCAAGACACTTCACCCAAAATTGCTCCTGTGGGGAGTGCCCACAGTATTGGGATAGTAGTGGTCTAATGGATAGTGAGGTGGGCTGAAGATCGGAAGGTTGTGAGTTCAAATCCCGCCAGAAACACCACCACTAGTGTGAGTAAGGCACTTAGCCCTTAGTTACTCCAGGGAGAATGTCCCTGTAATCGGTAATTGTAAGTCGCTTTGGATAAAAGCGTCAGCTAAATGAAATGTATATGTGTTGAGCATGTAGCTTTGGATAAAAGTGTCTAACAAGTGACATGTAATCTCCAAACATGTAATGTAATGATAGAGTCCTTCCTTTCATTCGTACTGTAATGAATGGGTCGTCAGTTGTGATAATATAATAATATAGTCCATCCACTATTCATGATACATTTAAAAAATGGTCAGCAACAGGAATTCATGACCCCGTATTAATATAAATCATCGAGCCCTACATGTCGTTGTAGTTAAGTGTGTAAGCTTCATTTTATAATAGGTAGTCCCTGCTAAGTCTCTCTTTTAGCTAAGGGGTTCTTGGCCTGAAAGAAAATGATAGAGTTATTCCATAAGGGTACATTTTCCAGATTGAACCATATCACTCCCATTTCTTTGTTCTTAGAAGTAGGAAATGTACAGTTGCATATTTTTGAGTTCTGCTCTTACCCCCGGTGGGACCGTGTTGACTCTGTTATCAATGGTTTCATACAGTGAGCACGGCTTCTGGAGGTTTAGATGTGCATAATACACAAAGGTAAGAAAAACAGAGGGCAAAGTGGGTTAAACATGCATTTCATCCTTCAAAAAACAAGCATTTGATTGTTACAGATTGTTTGTGCAGAGTAAATACATGAGCATACTTACATCCCCGATTGCAACATCATTAATATCAGCATACACTGTGAGGTCATTTGAGTCAACGCCTGGTGGTAGGTTTTAATGAAAGAAACAAAGCATAAGAAAAATGGTCATGCATGGATCATAACAAACAACAACATGAAAGACATATTACTATTCAATAGAATAGAATCATTTATTGTCCTTACACAGGTACAATGAGATGAGTAGAGCCACTCCAACAAGAGACGTACAACATTCAGGAGGAGACAACATACAAACAACAAGCATTCACATATATATATTGTGTCAGTGCATGCTGGAGTTTAGTGCAGTTATTGCTCTGGGAAAGAAACTGTCTTTAAGTCTGTTTGTCTTTGCTTTAAGATTTGCTTCAATTCAGCGTTTCTTACCTGCTTGACTTTGTTTGTGGCGATAAGCACACACAGCTACTCCAACTATAACGGCAACCAGCAGACAACCTCCGGCTCCCACAATCAGGGCAGAGAAGAAGGCTGTTCGTGCAGGAAATGGTGTTTTCCCTTGAAAATGGACAGTTATTTAAATCTAATAAAATATCATCAAACTACACCAATAAACCACAATCACTTCTCTGCACATACCTCTTTCTTCCGTTTCGAACGTAGTGTTGCTGCAACTCACTGTTTTGATTGTCGACATCTCACTGACAACATTGGAAATTGTGCAGTTGAATTTGGTGTCTTCGTCCTGTTGTCTGAGGATGTGCTGCAGCCTGAAGCCGTTGAAGGTTTCGGTTCCCACGGTCCACTGGAAGGTGACATGGCCAGTAGTGGCTGCACTGCACTCCAGCAGAACTGTACAGGATGCGTTCGAGGTGTGCCAGGTGGAACTGGAATTGACGATGGGCTCCTTAGTTATGGGCTCTAATGAGACGATTGGTGGGGAGAGAGAAAATCAATTTTTGTAAACCTTTATTCCAAACCAAAGATCTAAAATATAGTCATCCATTTTGTTTAAATCGAATAATAAAGAGTGTCATAACGTTTTCTGGAACTAAAAGAAACAATTAATCAGCAGGTTATAATTTTATCATCAAGAAGTAAAGGGATTTCTGAAAGTGGACTTGTTCAATGATTACACACCAAGCACCAATAAGCATTAAAGGAATATCCAATACATTATTCTTTGTGTAGACGATGGAGTTTAGACCAACTATTGATATAGTAGGCAAACAGCTGTGTACAGTATAAGCCTTACATTATATCCAATAATATTCACATAATAGTTTTATTATCAGACACCATCAACATTTAACAGTCTGACTGTCTAATAATATTATCTATAATAATATAATGTTTCAATAGGTCACGAGTAGAAAGCGCAATAAATAAATAAAGTAGTTATTTTTCCATTATAAAGGCATGTGTTCTAAAGGAATTATTCAATCAAGAAACTACTTAACGTAGTATTTTTTATTATTTATGAAATACTTATTTTAGGTTACTTGGAAACGACTTACCATGAACATACAGGATGATGGTGACTGTTGGGCGTTGGCCTGTTTTCTTTGCTGAGTTAAAACTGAATTTACCAGAATCTTTGAGGGTCAGCTCTCTCAATGTTAAACTGAAATTGTCTGGGTTGAATTCTAATCTTCCATCAAATTGAGAATTTTTGAATGCACCCTCGTCGTCTGCAATTTGTAACCCTTCATAATTCCATTCTGCCTTGGTGACCTCTTTAGTCGATAAGCCTGATGACAACTCCACAGTGTCTCCAACTTTTGTGTGGATTTCATGTTGAGGATTGGAGGCCTCCACATCTGAAACACATAAGCAAACAACAGACTGTCAAATTAGTTTCCCTACATTAGGAAAGCCTTAATATTCCTTGTGTTCACCTTGTATGCAACATGAAGTAGTAAGGTAATGTTCAACATAATGTAAGAGGAGAAAAGAGCATGTTCAATACCATCATGCACGACATGATCTAAAATAGCTTTTAATAACTATAGCATGTCCGATTTAATTATTGATACGACGAGTCAGAAAACAATTTCCTTGTCAACCTGGTTATCTTTAACTATGACATAACCAACGATTTTTACTGACCTGACTTAACTTTTTATATTACAGGGGTAGGATCGGAAAATACTTATATTAGTCATATTTCCAATTGTTATGAGTTGTTGGAAATGCATTGACAAACGGTTTTGGAATTCAGAAAAGTGAATATCCTGAGATTGGCCACTGAAAATGTCTTAGTTGTAGTTATGTGGTGAAGAGTAGGGAAATTGAACATACCAAATAAGAAAACAATTGGTCGCAGCTGACACTATTGCGCATTTAACATTTTAGGACAATAACAGTCATCAAAGCTGGCCAGGTAACCATGGCCTAATTTCTGAGAAGAGACTCAAACCAAAGACCCTGACCTCAGTGACAAAGTTGAAATGAAAGCTAATGTTATCCTGTACTGTGCATCACTGTCTGTCAGTGCTAGTGGTGAAGGGTTCTCGGAAAACACATACTTTTTTTTGGTAACACTTCAAACTTCTGCAAATATTCTGAGAAGATCCACTTTGTGCATGGAAGCAAGTACTCTATATAGTGTAAGACTTGCGATTCGTCTAAATATACTGTTTAAGTAAATTAATAGCTATAAAAAATTAACGAATACTCGTAAAAAAACACAACAAAGAGGAACCAGAAAAACGGAGAGGATGACCCATCCCTGTGTCGTGTAACGATTTGATTGTTGTAGCCAAGCAGTTGCACCAGAAAATTCGCTGACACAGAGTGTTCCAGATAATTCAAAGCACATTTAAAAATAAAACCACCGGATACAACTGTTTGCCTATAAACGACATTATAAGCTTACATTTTTCAATAGATGTTGAGCTCCATGAAAAATGTATATCTTTGTTATTTCAGGAGAGAGCAAATTATGTTTTTTCAACCATCTATTTCTTCAATATGGATGTCCCAGTCAGTTTCTTTCGGCCATAGCCGCAGCCCCATATCTAACTGGTGCTTTTAAAACGTCTTGCAGTTGCAAACAAACAAGAAACAAAAACTATAGTCTTCTCTCCCAATGAATACACGCCATTTCCCAATATGAAATGCGCATGTCCAGTCAATTCTGAAATCTTGACCTAATTTCCTTATTGCAAGAACAACACAGAGTACATCAAAATTGTCCCCCATAAAAGTACAAATCTATAAAGTTTGAAGCTGAGATGCACATACCATGGAGGAAGCAGCCAAGAAGTAGCACAGACATGTATGTTAACAAGCAGCTCTGGCAACCACCAACCATCTTTGTGACGAGAGGAACAACGTCTGTTTCCTTTTCTCATCTATCAAACTGCACCGTGACAGTTCTAAAAAAAAAAGAGAGAGAGTGGGTGGGTGGAGTTCTCTGTCGACAAAGAAGCAGACAAAGTTATCAGGCCTGAAATATAATGCAAGATAAAGTAGACCTATTAAGAAGATATCAACTGGAAAGTATATAAAAAATAAGAGTTTAAGGGTCAGTTCAAGATTGCCTCAATCGACTATTTGCGGCCTTGTGTTAATTATTTTCCTACCCTTAACTCACTCAAGTGGACAAACATTATATCTGCAGGCAGCTATATCAGAAAGACATATATGAAGTTTCACGCTCAAATGTTTATTGCCCAGAGCAGGAAGAACTCAACCACATCCTGTTATCAGATGCATGTTCATGGATGAGGAGATGCTGAGGTGATATCTGTTCAAGCTGTAAAAAAATAAATGTCTTAAAAAACAACTGAGTGCAAGTTCAGTGCTACACTGGAAGTGCATAGAGGAGCAGTAACACCTCTGCTGTCTTGTCTTAAGTGGGGAGTACACACCACTGCTGGGCCAGAACAGAGAACAAACACAGAGTCCAATGACAAAAAGTGTGGCCAGCCTAGAGGCAATAGAGAGCAATGGTCCCGTTATAGCGTGAGCTTTTACATTTACTTAAAAGTTCAAAAAAGCAGTTCCTGTTAGAGGCAAGCATCTTACATTTTGTGAAAACTGCAACAGGTGGCAACTGTAAAGAACAGAGAAGATTGAAATCCGTTTTGGGAGTGGCGGGCAGGAGCTTTACGGAATTTTGATGGTAGACGAAGCTGCTCCAATAAGGAGATAGAAGATATGTGAAGAAGACGAGACCTGTCCTTCTCTAGCAGGGAGGGGACAAATACTCCTTAGGTTGTATTGGATGCTTTTGGATAAGATGCAAATAAAAATGGGTTGAATCGAAAGGCCTTTGTTTGGGACCCTTCTGACCAAAGGAGCACAATTTCCGTATTGTCCTAGCTGAGCTTCAGATAGCTACCATGCAAGTAGTAACGCCTGCTCCTGTCTGACTGTGAGTTGGGGAAAATATGGTGACATCGAAGCAGACTGTTTTTGTTGTAAATAAGACCAATGTGAAAACCAATAGAGCTTTTCCACTAGAACTTAGGACCAGTACCATTTATTGGAATCTAAATCCCTAACCCTCCGCCTTTTAGCCTCCTGAGAAGCTGGTATTTCAACAAACTCTCTTACTGCATTGCAAGTTTTATATTTCTCCACAGAATATGGTTGGAGAAAACTGAACTGTTTTGCTGGTAAAGGTGCAGCAGTGCTTGCATGACTAAGGCCCACAACTGTATGGATCTTATCGCATCACTAGAGTTTGTGTGCAGCTCGACCACATGTGACCACATAGGAAGTAAGTTCCCAGAATAAAGCTAAAGGCTTACACGTATGTCATGTATGTCAATTCCCTTTTCATATTCAGGGAGAGACGTAGCAAAGACTACTTTCAAAAACTTAAAATCCATGGATTGGTTGGGAAGGAAAGTGATGACGTCATGAGGGTTTGTTTAGCAGGAACTATAACCTCTTCCGGCAGAGATTACTGGTAGCCGTGGTCACCTTACAATAAACAACACTTTACTAAGTGTTGCTTCTGCAGAGGTGGTCTGTGCTCTGCAACCTAACATGATTTCCTATGAACTTTATGGTAAAAGGCTGATGTGAAACTCACAGGGGGAAACAGAAGCGCTGATGATGCTGCCCACCTAAAGAGCACCAGGGAAAACTGTGTCTGATATTCACAACCACTTGCTTGTGTTACTTCTCTATTAATTCACACCATTTGTATACCTGTGATCAACGTTTTACAATGACATCTCCAATTGCATTTAGCCCACACATGTCATATCAGACACTTCTTTTTTTCTGACTATAAGTTTTTAGCAGAGGTGGTAAGTAAATACGTACATTTACTCAAGTACTGTACTTAAGTAACATTTTGAGGTACTTGTACTTTACTTGAGCATTTCCATGTTATGCTTGTACTTCTACTCCGCTACAATTCAGAGGTAAATATTGAACTATCACTCTACTACATTTATGTAGTACCTTTAGTTACATATACAGCTTAATGATAAACAATACGATCAACACTTCAAACACCTTTAAATACACCCGGATTGATTTCACATTCTACCCAGCAGTAAATAAAGGAATTGAAATTAGTTCTAGTTTTACCAGCTTGATAAACACAACAATACATCAATATTGATAACCAAAACAAATCATATGATTCTGAAATGAGGCCATTTGCACAATGAATACTTTAACTTTTGGTACTTTAAGTATATTTGATGTAAATACTTTTGTAATTTTACTTGAGTAACATTTTAATTGCAGGATTTTTAATTGAAATCAAGTATTCCTACTTCTACTTTTACTTAAAAACAAGATCTGAGTACTACTTCCACCTCTGGTTTTGAGTAAACTAAACCTAGCATTATTTCAGTTTTCACAAAATGACCATATGGTTTGTCAGTCGGCTTTCTTTATGACTGACTGTCCCTCAGATAGAACGACTACATTTTCCTCTAGTGCCACAATGAGGTTGACCATTTTTATTTTTGCGGCTTCTTATTACATAGTGTAAAAAAAGATAATAGTTAAACAAAGTGTGTATTGAACTATGACCACATGAACATCTTAGGAACTGAAAGCAGAACTAGAGGGCACCAACAAGTGGCTGATAATGTTGCTGACATGACAAAGCGTAGGAAAGAATACTCTCAGCTTGATCCACAGTCAACTTATTTTGTTTAAATAATGGAGTTAATTGTCCTCCAAGATAGGGGAAAAGGACTTACGTTTGAATGTATGTATTGTAAATGATGTTTTCTAGCAACTGTTCATTACATATGAAAAGAGAATTGTTGATGTGCATGTCTGCACATAGGGTGTTTCCCATAAAATACAACTGTTATGTAACATCAGTGTAAAAAAACACAAAGTAAGGCAAAAAAAGACATGTTGTTTCTACAGGCCTCTGCTATTTTGGTGATGATGCATATCTTTGTATAGAACTGAAACACAATTATTATTATAAATGCAACTGTGTACTCGATACAGCTATCATATAACGTTTTCAAAGTTGGATACGCATTTGTCAAGTTTTCAAAGCTGTTCCCAGTTATCGTGAAATATCGATGAAATCATCAGTGTCCTTAAATTACTTTTAAAACCATTTGAAATGTTTGACGCCTGTATTTACTTACATTTGATATGCATACGGACCTAGAGTTATATGGACCTTTAGTGCATTTAATAATAAAGGCTGGAGTAGCAGCACGAAGTGTTCGTTCACAGCTCAAGTCAGGGTCACACTGCCCCCTACAGGAAAGGGCTGGTACAAAACATAAAATAAGATCATTACTGTCCATGTGTTTCTACTTTGGGTGAAAATACTGTATTACAGCCCTTACCTTACAGAGAAATGATACTGTTTACATTTTACTAACAAAAATGTAACGATACAAATAGGATTTCTTATTATTATTTATTAAATCCTTTCAGCATTTTTTTCGGGATAAGTTCAAATTTCAACAGATGTTAAGTTAATTAAGGTAAATTGCCTTGCTCAAGGGCACCACGACAGTGCCCAGAAGGGGACTGTGACTTCTCAAAGTACCAGTCTATTCAGGGACTTGAACCGGCGACCCTACGGTTCCCAGGCCAAGTCCCTATACAGACTGAGCTGACGGACATATGCCCAGTTAACAAAGGGTGAAGATATTGGGCTTTTGTGTCCTGTGTATGAATGTGTTATAGTATATTGTCAAGAAACAAAACTCCAGAAACCAAACACATAAAAAAGAAAAGCTCAAAAATAAATATGAAATATTTGGAAATACTTTAAGTGTAGTTATTGTTGCTTAGGTCGAATTCGATTAACATCTGTTGGCTCAAGTATTGCATAACGTCCTGTTTATCAGTTAAGTTTGTTTATATCCTGTATACTAACTGCAAAATCATTCAACTTTGCGAAAGTAATGAAAATGTTAAAGTTGGAAACTGAAGAAAGCAAACGTTTATTTTATGGTTTTATTTACTGTGTATGTCTTTTAGTTTTTATTACGGCTGTGTGGTACTTTGGTGCTCCACAAAACTATGTGGACAAAATCATTTTAAAAATACATAAAAGCGTTTATAAAAATTGGAGTCATGGCTTGTTGCTGAATTTTTTTTTTATTGCTGCATACAATAGACCAATATTTTAAATGATACAAAAAAACCTCCAGGTAAAAACATACATCAATCCATTTTAAAAATACAAACAAATTGTTAATTTGATAAAAAAATAAGCAAAAAACATGTCTTCAAGGACCTGGGGGGAAATAAGAGAGAAAGTAGAGATAAAAGGTTATTTAAATTGTATTTGTTTTTTAAATAAAGAAGATGCATACAACATTATTACCAGGAGCTTTGTCTAGTTTCACTTCAGAATAAACCGTTTCTTCTGCAGCAGAGGAGTTTTCTATGGAAATAAATAAGAATGTAGTTTGTCAGCATAACATCTATCTGATTAAAAGATAGGAGAAATACGTATTTATTGCTTGTATCGTGAATACTCACCAGTCCTTCTAATGTCTTTAAGGTGAATCAAGGAGTAAGTGACATCGCCGGATTCATCTGAAATACACATAGCTTAAACTAAAGCTTAACTTAAAGACTCAAATGTGTAACCCAAATTGAATTAAAGCTATTTTCATAACATAAAGCCATAATGTTTTCATCTTTTATTAATATTAAGAAGAGTATTTTGATTTTGAATTTAGGCACTGCTAGCCTACAAAAGCACCTTAATTATTGTATGCTATGTTGTTACGACATAGAAATGAAATACTCACCCTTCTTAGAAATGTTTTTGAGCTCAAGCACCGAATATGTCGCATCCCTGGATTCATCTGAAATGTACAAATTAGTTTAGATTTAAAAGAGTGAACCTTGAATTGTCATTTTCGAGCCTGAAACCTGAAAAACAGGCGTGGGGTTTAAACAGGTTAAAGCTATTTTCATAACATAAAGCCATAATGTTTTCATCTTTTATTAATATTAAGAAGAGTAAACTACTTTCCAGCTTCATGGATTTTGTCTTTTGATTCAAGAGCTTAGATATTTCACCTATACCAGACAATTAGCATTACAAATGACAAACATATGAAATGAGAACTTAATCTTGATTATTTGTCAGGCTGACCGTGGAGATGAGAGGAAGGAAGCTGCGGTTGAGTTTCTTCATATGAACCACTTGATCTGGAGCAAAGCCCTGATTGGTTCTCTGAAACAGTGTGGTCCTAAGAATGTAAATAAAATAACACATGGTAAAAAATATAGTAGACAAGTATAGTCAAGTTCAAAAGACTTGTACCGACCTTGCAAACCTTGAATCTACAACAACAACAAAAAAGACATTGGTGTTCTTTGTATTAGAAACTGACGCACTACCATTTCAGATCCATCAAATATCAAAAGGAAAATGTCTCACTTTTGGACTTCATGCAGCAACAGAATAGCAGCAGGAGATCAGTAGCAGAATAAATGATCTCTTAATTTTTTCAGGACTGGATGCTGCTACAAAAAAAAGTTTTCATAGATTCAATTTTTCTTCAACAGAGCTGAAAGCTGGGTTTCACATAAAAAAATAAACACCTAATATATACACCCTATTTAAAGCACGTACTTTACGAATTAACACATACGTATGCAATTGTATACATGTGAAGACATACAGAACATTCATAGATAACCACACTAACCAGTGCTATTTCTAAGTAGAAAGGAAGTCTTTCTTCACCTCAGATGGCAACCTAGTTAATGGAAAAGGAAGCGCATAAGAGACAAATGTAAAAATAGGCGCATTCACACCGCAGTACTTTTCCCACAAAGGTTCATGAGAACTTAGTTCATGAGAACTCTTTTGTCGCGTTCACACCAAAAAGAGCCAGTACTAAAATTAGTTCATAGCCGCTTTCACACCGCAGGACTTGCCGTAGGCCTACTTTAGTGCCGGCACTAAAGTACCACGGCACTGAATCCGCCAGGGGGCTAGTGCCAATCGCATTCACACCGCAGTACTTTCCCTGAGGCAAGATTACGCTGACGTCACTTAGTCTTCTTCTTCTCTGGGTTTACTGGCAGGCCGCAAAAAGGAAAAGGACATTAACCCTTGTTTGGTGTGTTTCCCTTATTTATCTAAAACAAATGACATGATAAATGACTTTTGTTTATGTGTGTAAGACTTGTGTTTCTGCCCCTGCTATTGCTGCACAAGGTTGCAACATTGTAGATACATTCAACCACCGACACCTGTCTGCTCTCACATTCTTCTATTCTGCAAATTTGGGGTGGGACACAATAAATAAAGCTTCGCCAGTTTGTTTGTTTTATTGCACAGTCAAGACATAACAATAACGGCATCACGCTGTTCCAGGTGTGTCGTATGCGTGTAAATTGAAGTTAAATAAAAGTGTGAAATGTAAAATAAAGTGTAAGTAGTTTCAAAACAATGTAACAGTGGCAATATATATAGCAGCAGACACACCTTAGTGCAAGTTAGGTGTCAGTATTAAAAAACAGTGGCAATATATATATATATAATAACAATAGAAAATCGTTACCACTCTTATTATTGTGGTCTTTAATTTTTTTATAGTCCTGCCTGAGTTTCTTTATTTTTACCCGGCATCCGTGTGCACTGTGCACGATTCCCAGCTCAAGTAGCTTTTGCGAACATCGCTCAAAACATTTGGAGTTGGGAACTGCTTTCTGTAGAAGCTGCTGCATCCCGTCCTCGGAGTAAATTGCCAGAAGCGCCGACACTTCCTCATCATTCCACCGCTCCGGTGTTGTAGTACGTGTGGTCATAACTGCTTTAAAGTACAAAAAAACTACTCGCTCAGGTGTGGATGTGGTTTTGTAGCGAGGAAAAAAATGGCTGCCTAACAAAAAAAATTCAGAGTCTAACGGGGCGTGGTTTGCAATTCGCCCAGCCAATAGAAATAGAATAGAAATTGGCACTCTTTTATCACCAGGTTCGTACCACCTCTCTAGCAGGGACTGAAATTGGCCAAAAGAGTTCCCGGCACTGAGTAGTCCCGGCGGTGTGAACGCGACATTATTGGTACTAACGGAATTAAAGAACCAAAGTACCAGGGAAAGTCCTGCGGTGTGAATGCGGCTCATGAGAACCTTTTTACCCCCACGAAAGTCCCTGCTAGAGAGCAGGGACTTTCGTGCGGCTCTCTTGTGAGAAAAGAGCTATATTTCTGATTGGCTGGAAGGATTGCAAACCACGCCCCGTAAAACTCCCAAAAAGTTTTGTGAAGCCGCCATTTTATTATCCTCGCATTAGCATTATTAGCATTAGCATTAGCCCAGCGCAGAAACGCAGAGCGACTAACTTATGGCAACACAAAATAAAACATGGGAGCGGTGGAGATGAGGAGGTGTCGGCGTTCTGGCGATTTACTCGGAAGGCTTCAGTAGAAGCTGCTGGGATAAAAAAATCGTAGTTATATCTCCTGTTATCAATCCATTCACATTGCCCGCCATGAACTTCCGGGGAACGATCCTCGTCTACATGAACCACGTGACGATAACCGTTTTTGGACTTCCGTTGTCGTAACTCTTCTATCTATATGGCGCTGCTTCTACTGAAGCCAGTCCCCAACTCCGGGGACTTCCGGCCGGGGACTTTGGGCGGCAGTATACGCCGTGAAGTGGTTTGCGGCCTGCCAGTAAACCTAAAGCAGAAGAAGAAGAAGTGACGTCAGCGGCTTCATTTGCCTAATCCACCCCCAGGGACTTATTCCGGTGTGAACACGATCTGTACTTAGTTCATGAGAACTAAAGAGTTCTCATGAACTAAATTCTCATGAACCTTTGTGGGAAAAGTACTGCGGTGTGAATGCGCCTATACTCACATTTTACTGACAACCAACTCTGTGCTGACTTTTTCTCTGCGTCTCGACACATGTAGAAGCCTTCGTCGGACTTTGACATAGCAGAGATCCTCGGCTCAGCCCTGGTATACCTTTGGAGAGTATTATTTCGATAAAAATAAACATTAGAAGATAATGATCCGCTCTTCACTTTGCAACTAAGATGAACAGAATCTCCTTCAGTCACAGGATGGACAGGGCTCACCAGGATAATATCACCTGTAAAGCAGTCGATGAATATCAAGTTATCGAGATAATCCTCACAGACACTCAGTTATACATTTGTAATATAAATCCAGTTAGGGAATTGTGACAAAAATGTACTTACTTTGTAGAGTAATGTTGACTGCATTGCTGAATTCACCAGATGCAAACTCACACCAGTACACCGCTGTTTTGTTTGTCAGATGTTTGATGATCCATGTGGATCCGTTCTTTCTGCCCCAGTCAGAGCAGTTTGACAGATGGCCTGCTTCAGTGAGCCTCACCACTCTCCACTGGTTCCCCTCACAGCTCCGTGACACAGGCTCTGAGGGAAAGTGCTGCACTCTGTCAGGACTCACTTTGACCGATGTTCCATGAGAATCTGAAATACAAAAACAGAATAATTGGAAATTATCTTCTGAATGTTTTCAACATGAATTCAGCCTCCTAGAGTAGATGCGCTCTGTGAAGGAGGAAACTACAAACTTTTACCGGGCACATTTAGGTCCAAATGGTCAGTGTTACATGATGAAAAAAAGTTCTAGTTGTTCCCATACCTATTCTACCAACCTTACAGCGTTCAGAGTGACTTTTAATAAAGCTTGTTATGCCTGCTATAAGTAAAGATTCACATTTTTCTGCTATAAAAATACTTTGTGTTTTTAAAATGGCAATTAAGGAGGCATTTAAAGATGGGTCCTAATGGGAACATCAGATAGGAAGAGATAAGCGACATAAAGAAACATTCTCACCTCCAGTCAAGACAAACTTTGGTTTGCTATACCAATAGTAATGCACAGGGTTTCCTCTTCCAGCCCTGCACACATACCCTGCTGTGTGTGTCTGTCCATTAACAACGTAGGTATTGTTTTCAGTCCCATTGCTCTTGCCGGGTAGTAGCTCATAGCTGTAGTTGGAGTTGATAGACAGATTGGCGACGGCCTTATACCAGTAAAACCTCCACCCTGCTGCTGAATCTGTAACACTGCAGTTCAGAGTGACGGAGGCTCCCTGACTCAGCCATGAACGAGACACATTGAGAGCAGGTTTTGGATTATCTGTTGGAGAATTATTACATTTAATAGTAATTCAAACAAAAAACATACCTAAGGAACAGTGGCGGCGCCAGAGTATTTTTGTTGGGTAATCTATGGTAGGGCTAACCCATAGTGGTGGGGCTCAAGTCAGTATTTGCAATGTAATTACATACACGCTCCCCTTGACAGTGAAACGCCACGTGTGAGGTTTAGATTATTTCCCTGTGTCAATCCAAATTGAACTGTATGAAATAAAAAGAATAACAAATACTAACATAAAATACACATTCTGGTACTCTCTTGAGAAGAAAAATAAATACATTATTACTACACGACATATTTAAAAAAATAAAATAATGCCATTTTAGTTTGTTGTTACTTTGTTCTGAAAGCTGAACCTGCTGCTCCTCACTGAAGAGGGAAGGGGCTGTGCGAATGACTTTACATTGTGGATAAGGGTGGATAGCCCCCATTGTTCTGTGTGTCAAAATGAAAGACAGCCCACACACCTATCAATCATCAAACCGTGGGGTCTTATTTCGATACGTCTTCTATCAACACGTAATGTTGTATCGATGTAGATGTACTACACCAAAAGTATTCTCCGTCAGGACTTCCTGCAACAACCCCACGCCGTTATCGTGATTCTGATTGGCCAGAAGACATTATCAAAGATGTTCTATTGAGAAGACGATCACTACGTGACAAAAGTTTTCAAAAATAAAAATAATATTTTAGAAATTACACTTTATCGCTGAGAGCTTTTCTAAATATATAGGCCTACAGGGTAAAATTCATTTAAAAAAATCATAAATAACTCAAAAGAATACTCTTAAAATACAAAACGAACAATATTAATCACACATTAAAATCAGATCTTGAGAAATCGCTTTAAATCCACATTATAAAAACACAGTCCAAGGTCCTGCCTTGAAAATGCATCTATAAATATAGTATCAAATGATCATGGTTGATGAAACATAGTCAAATTAACACATTCCTTGGCTCTAAACGGTTTTGCTAAAAACCGCTGCTCTGTAGACAAAACAATGATCCTCTGTTCTAAAAACAAAAGTCAGTGATATACTCACAGAATAACCCCAGCGTGCAGAGCAAAGTGTGTCCCATCTTCACATCCAACACTGACTCTCTGTCTCTTACACATACGTCCACTTTAACACTTGAAGAAAATTGAGGAAGACTAACAGAGCACTGTGGGAGGAAATCTGATGTCAACATGAGCTCATTGGTATTTTACACATTTTCTAAGAATAACTAGTCTCTCTTTCCTTCCTGTTTTACATTTACATACACGTACATTGCCAGTAAATAGTCATTTTTGCTAAACTCATATCTTTATCTTTATATTTACCTGACCTTTATTGCAATTGTAATTCTGATAATTTATCATGCATTAGTCTAAAAACACTAGACAAATGTCAGGATTTTTTGGTAAAATAGGCATCTTGTAAACCTCTAATATTAGATGTTTCTACTGCTTCATCACTATAGTAATAACAAGGGCAGACGATTCAAAGTGACACATTTTTGGTCACATCTCAAATTGTGCACCTCTAAATTCCTTCTCTCGCCTCAAAGTATGACTGTACTGGATCCCCAAAATAAGAGGGAGGATGATGAAGCAAATCAAACACCTTGTGTAAAGAAAAGTATAAGCACTTAAGTAAATCAAGTTTATTGATGCAAAACAAAGCAAGCTTTTTTTTTTAAATACACCTAGATTAAAGCCATATGATGCATTTTCTTTAAATGACTTGCCATTACATTAACTGTACAAAATACTGTCGGATAAATGGAGAGCAAAGCTGCAAATAAGGTTTAGTTTTGGTATGTTGTTTCCATTCCTCTTGTCCTTACAGAAGACATTGTTTGATCTGGAAGAAAACCAAAGAAGAAAGAGATTACACTTTTTTAAAGAATTAGGGTGTTTCATGACATATTAATCCCATTTAAAACATATTTAACAATATATGAAATAAATAAAGTGATTGATCTGAATACTTACATGATGTTACGCTGCATTTTTACCAAGAGCTGTTCCTGGTTTGAGTTCAGAATAAACAGTTTCATCCGCTGGTGCAGGACTTGACTTCCCTATGAATGAAGAGATTATTATTATTTTGTTTTTACAGTATTCCCCCAGATAAAAATGAAAATGTACTGGTATACATTTTCCTCACAAGAGGGTAGAGTGATAGTTTGATAGAAGGAATTGCTCATGATGATTCACAACAGTTAAACATGTACGGATACAGATGAATGAAATGTCACATGCCCTGATGTTTATTTCATGAATGCATAGAATTGGCAGATAATTAAATAAACAAACATTGACAAAGTTATGTGTAGGATTTGAACATTGCTGACTTTGGCAACACCTTGTGGCACATTTTAAAATGACACCATATCAGGCAGCACGTAACCCAACACAAGCTTAAAGCAGGTAGTATTTCATCATACCTGCAGCTGATGCCATCTGCACATCTGAGTAAACACAATCCTCCGGTTCATTTTTCTTCCCTGTTAGACGGATCAAGAGAAAGCATGAAAAGACACACTTTACTTAATTTAGGCACTGCTGGCCTACAAAAGCACCTTAATTATTGTATGGTATTGTTACGACATAGAAATCAAACACTCACCCTTCTTAGAAATGTTTTTGAGCTCCACAACAGAATATGTCACATCCGTATATTCATCTGAAATATACAATTCGGTTTGTATTTAAAAGAGTGATCCTTGAATTGTCCTATTCCAGTATTTATATTGACTATACTGTACCATTTGCAGGTTCTTCAGGGCCTCTGACTGTTGCATAGAGACAGGCATTATCTGAAGAGAAATCAAAATCAAACCAAATATATATTAAAATCCCTCTATATGAACTCCTACATTTTTTAAAACAACTAATGAGAAATGGAAATGCTACTCGGTTAATAACGTTAACAATACATTCAAAACGTAGAAAGGACTCAGGCTGACCCTGGACAACAGAAGCATTTTCTCTTTGGTTAGTTTCGTCCTGGTTGATCATGTGGTCTGTAGCAGGGCTCTGATTGGTCCTCTGAGATCTGGTGGGCAAAACACATGTAGTAAATGAAGTGGATTTATTAAGGAACATATGACTGCTGTCATGTTCATAATAAAAGAAAAAAATATGTGTTGTACCAACCTGCTATAGCATGAATCTGTTAAAAACAAAGTAATACTATATTATTTTGCATTGGGAAAGTGTCCTACTGTCAAAACAGTACATGTGATTACATTAGAGTCAATCTTCTATCAGAAGAAAATTATCTCACCTTTTGACTTCCTGTATAAATACAGGAACAGCAGCAGGAGAATAATCAGTGAAACTCCACAAAGCAGCCCAACGATCAGCAGGACGGGAAATTCAGAGGCTTCTCCATGCCCGGACGCTGCTATTATAAGTAATCATTATTAATATTATATCTGTAACACTTTCCTGTAATGGATTAACTTTATAAAACCTTTTTTAATTCAAACACAGTTTAATTCAGAAGAAACTAAGCTTTCTATATATCAAACTGTAACATAGTTTTCAAAAAAGGAAGGTTTTTTTTTATATCTTATATCTTACATTTTACTAACTTGTATTTTCAATGCTGCTCATGTAATCATGGTCATATGAATGTTTTAAGACTGAATAAAGAACTGGAAAAATATATTTATTTTACAAAAACCAAATGTATAATTTGGAGGAAACTCGTTGAATTCAGTAATAACTGTCTTTTTTAGCTCTGACTCAGCAACACATCTCAAAAAGAGGAAACTGTTCTTTATCATACTCACATTTGACTGAGAACCAACTCTTTGATGAGGTCCTACCATCTACTGAATCTCTCCGTTTACATTTATAAAAGCCTTCGTCTGACTTTGACACTGCAGAGATGGTCAGCTCCCTTCTGGTATCGTTCTGGATGAGTTTGTCATTTTTATAAAAATCCACATCATAAAGAACAGTTCCTGTCTTTAACTTGCAGCTAAGAGTGACAGGAAGTCCCTCAGCCACAGGTCGGACAGGACTCACCAGGATCATTTCACCATCTGAAATAACATAAATATAAAGGCTTTGTCAGAGACATCAGCTTTTTCAGATTTGATATGTTTAGGCACAACTGGTCTAGTCTGGCAGAAGCAGAAATGCCAAGGTGTAGATATATGAGGAAAATAAAACACATAGAATATTATCTTTGATCTTTCAGAGGAGTAACCCTGGAGTTCACTTCTCAAATTAAACCTTTTTATAAAGTTTTAACTCACTTTGAAGAGCATTTTGGCTAATGCAGCTTCACATTTCAAAAAGAATATAATAATTCAGAAACACATTTTTTAAATAATTAAAACTCACACTCCATAGTGATGTTGACTGCATTACTGAACTGTCCTGTTTCAGACTCACACCAGTACACTCCACTAAGCCAGCTTCTGGTTATTGTGCATGTGGATCCAGTCATTGTCCCCCAGGAAGAACAGGGAAGAAGGTAGTCAGGTTTAGAAAACATCCTCACTCTCCACTCAGTGGAGTTTCCCTCACAGCTCAGTGACACAGGCGTTTTGGTGAAGTGCTGCACACTGTCAGGACTCACTGTGAGAGACGCTGCTGAGTTAATATCTAAAACACACAAAGAGGGGACATTTAAACCATGCAAACTGAAAAAGACAATGCATGGGTACAGCAAACCTGCCACTTAATTTACCCTGAAAAAACAAACGGGAACAAACTAAAGTAGGAGGAAAACAAAACTGAAAGTACCAGTGTCTCAATCCCACACACATTGTTTTAATTATATGTATTGTTTATGTCTTAAACCATTTAACCAGTAGATAAATATCTTGAAACATATTCCCAACTAAAAACATAAAGGAATTCCTTACCAGTTATATCTAATTACAATGTATTGTAGAAGCCTTTTATTATTATGTTTTGGATTTACAAAGTCTAAGGTTTGAACCATGGCGAACAACAACTCATGTGTCAGGATGAAAAGAGGGCCAGGAGATTAACTCGTGTTCAAATTCAGTCCAGAAGCTGAATAAATTCATCATCATTCTGTTTTAGAGAATAGTTTTGAAAACTGAACTATGACCTGATGCTGGTGTAAAATAATGTGACTTTGTTCCATTTTGCAATAATGGAAAAGTCAAAACAAACATGCCTCCAGTCCAGACAAACTTTGATGAATACATTTGTTGGGCTAATGGTGGTAAAAACTGAAGAAAGAAAGGAAAAAGGAAGAACATACTGACCTCCAGACCAGACAAACTCAGGATTGCTGTACCAACTGTAAAACACTGGATCTCCTCTTCCTGCTCTGCACACATATCCTGCTGTGTGTGTGTGTCCATCAATGATGAAGAGATCCTGTTCAGTCCCATTCTTGCTGCCAGCTAGCAGCTCATAGCTGTAGAAGTTGCCTGACAGTTGTGGAACAGCCTTATACCAGTAGAAGCTCCAGCCAGCAGAAGGATGATCAACCCTGCAGTTCAGAGTTACTGAGGCTCCAGGACTCGGCCATGATGGAGACACAGTGAGGACAGGCAGAGGTCTTTCTGTTGGAAAGTGATTTATTTATAATTGGTGGGTAACAAACACTCCTTGCATCGTACATATTTTCTTCAAACATGTAAAACAAATGTGAGGTAAATAAATATAATAACCAACATATTATAGATTATATGTTTATATACATATAGCAAAACAAATCTAATAATGACAAATGACTTACTGTCAGATAATGTGAGGACATCACTCCAATGCGTTGAAGGCATTTCACCTTTCAGTCTGCCCTTACACCTGTAGTCTCCACTTTGTGAGGTCAGAGTAAGTTTAGGATCAGATGTCGGAGGTGTTTCTGACCCAGGTGTCGTCCATATGTAATCCCACTCAGAGTCTCCTCCATCCTTAATTTCACATGTGATCGTTTCTCCAGAGTACATCTCAGGCCAGTTGGGTCGCAGGGTCACAACAGCCCTGTTTGTGACTGTTAGAGTAAGAAGCACAAAATACAAAAAATGAAACAAATATAAAATTCTTAGCGACCTTCTTAATCCTTACTTTCAAATATTATAATTTATATATTTTTTATGACATAATATTTGATTTTTAAATTACCGACTGCATCGCTGTACTCTGTGTAGTAAACAGGGTTTCCTCTTCTTCCTCTGCACCAGTAGACGCCTCCTCGTGAGACACTGATTTGGTCATTTGTGAGGAAAAAAACATCTTGTGTCTTCAGGGGTTCAGAGGTTTTCTCTTTTTTGTACCAGAAGTATCTCCAACCAGAAGCTGATGATGGACCTACAGAGCAAGTTAGAGTCACATTGCCCCGTCCTGGAAATATGTCATTCAGCTGTGCCTTTGGTTTTGCTGTTTAATGTAGAATAAAGGTACAAATGTTTACAAAATGTTAGTTATTGTCCCTGTAAATAAGCCTAGCTTGAAAAATAATACACATTTACACTGAACAAAAATATAAACGCAACACTTTTGTTTTTGCTCCCATTTTTCATGAGATGAACTCAAAGATCTAAAACATTTTCTATATACACAAAATAACCATTTCTCTCAAATATTGTTCACAAATCTGAAAAAATCTGTGATAGTGAGCACTTCTCCTTTGCTGAGATAATCCATCCCACCTCACAGGTGTGGCATATCAAGATGCTGATTAGACAGCATGATTATTGCACAGGTGTGCCTTAGGCTGGCCACAATAAAAGGCCACTCTGAAACGTGCAGTTTTGCTTTATTGGGGGTCTGAAAACCAGTCAGTATCTGGTGTGAGGGTTAGGGTTAGGGTAATGTTGTGAATTGAGTGGCCCATGGTGGTGGTGGGGTTATGGTATGGGCAGGCGTATGTAATGGACGACGAACACAGGCCACTCGATTCACAACATTACCCTAACCCTAACCCTAACCTGAACTTTTTGTTCAGTGTATAATATATCTTATCCAGCACTCTTAGTAATATTCAATCACTGTGTATGTTATAATGAAAATATAGAGAAATAACTATGCTTATATTTCTATTTATAACCACTGAAGTAGTTGGTTAACCTTGTGAAGAAACGCACATAAAACGGGGTGAACATTTAAAAAGCATTTTTTTTTCTTTGTTTATTGTCCAGTGTTTCTAAGATTAGGCAGAAAATAGAATTATGTTTCATTTTGGGTTTACTAAATGTCTGAAGCTTTTAGGAAAACTACATACGTTAAGTATGAATGAAGAATACCTTTTCACATCTCATGAAAAAGGAATACATTTTTACCTGCATATAATCGCTGTTAAGAACATTAAGGTGTATTAGTTATCCCCCCCCCCAAATGCAGACACTTACACTTACGATGATTCAAAAACAAAAACAGAAAGATATGGACACAAGATGTGTGCAACTGTATTTAGTTTCCTATCCATTTGAATATGATTTAAGTGGGGGGGGGGGACCTCACCTCCTCTAGGGGGGTCCGGGGGCATGCACCCCCGGGAAGACTTTGTTTTTTAATATTGAAGTTAAAAGCATCAATCTGGTGCACTTTGAGAGCAACATTAGGAGATCTATGGATACATCTCTCAGCACCCATATGAAACAGAACTTTAAGCAGATTTTATTTTTCTTTATGGATATTTTACAAATCACTCCCCTTTCAAACTTTATTCTTTTTATTAATAACAACTTTTTTGTCATATAGTATTTTATACCTGTTTTTCACCTATTCTCTTATTTTTTTATAACTATAATGATCATATAGAGGTGTGCCTTTACCTCACTGAGCTGAGGTTATCAGAGCTGCTCAGTCTTTCAGGAGAGAGCTCTCTAAAGCTCTCCCCCCCGCGGCCGCTTACACAGTCAATTCCAATGTTAATAAAAGCACACAGAAGCTGTGTACGTTTTTTGGGAGTTTGATTTATTTTAAATTAACACAAATACAAAATTAAAACCTATAAATGTACACTAAAACCATTATTTAAAAAAAAGAACAATTTCACTAAAACCTCTGGTTTTTACTGGGGCTGGGGCAGTTCAACTTGATTTTTTTTGGGGGGGGGGGGTGGGTGTGCCATAGTTTATGGGTGCTGTACGCAATATAGGCGTAGTTCTGTTAGTATAAGATAATAAGATGTACTTTGTTGATCCAAAATCGGGAAATTATGTTGTTATGAAATATAAAAATAAATATGTTTTTAATTTCAAACTTTTTTTTTCTTTTTTCTCCCCAATTTTCGGCGCCCCCTATGGGTTGATGCGCCCTTAGCATTCGCCTATACTGCCTATGCCGAGGGCCGGCCCTGGGTAAAGTATTATCTTTATGTAAATGCTTTGATGTAAGAAGCTGTCTTTCTGTTCTTATTGTAATACTAATTGTTGATTTTGTGATAACACAAAAGCACAGAATTGTACAGTATACTTCACCTGCCTATACAGCATCAGTGGCGCTTGTCCTAACTGGGTTTTCATTTCAACATGGCTCATTAATAAATAAAAAGTGCTTTTATTGAACTTGGTCATGGTGGTATTACTTTGATCACTTACCTGATACAGTTAGATCGATTTTATTGCTTATTTGTGTTGATCTTCCGTGCTGAAAAAAGCATTGGTATTCACCAGTGTCGCCTGTATATAGAAGGGGTGATTTATAGCTCTCATGTTTGCCGTAAGAGAGAAAGTCTTGACCATTCTTGTGGATTGCGTAAGACCAGTCGCTGCCTTTGCCTCCTGTAATGTCACACTTGAAGGTCACAGACTCTCCAGAAAAAAAGATTGTCCAGTTTGGCTCAATGGTCAGCGCAGCATCTAGAAACCATCACAAGATACATGAAGTAAAATGTGTTTCCTTTTTGTCAAAACATTTATAATTCATTGACAAAACGGAACACACAAAACAGAGGATGTTGTTTGGAGAGTTACATAGGTAGATTTTCACTTTACTTATATATTAGTAAACAACAAGAAAGAACATTGTATAATTACCTTGAGCTTCTCCATGGTAAAGTAAATTCAGCACTGAAAGAAGTATGAAACTACATCAGACATGATCAAACTGAAAGAAATCAAACAAAGACATCATAACATCAGGCATTTAAAAAGTTGTAACAACGGTAATTAAAACATTCAAAGTACTCACAGAGAAACCCCAGTAAAGAGAGAAAAGTGTGTCCCATCTTCACATCCAACACTTATAATCTGCTCCTCTGTTTATGATAAATTCTTCTACTTTGTGAAAATAGAAAGATCGAAACTGCAGCATATGAAGAGAAAACAGGAACTATAGAGAAACAAATGCAATGTAATATTGGGAACGGAAGTTGATTTCTAACTTCTTTTAAAAAGTACACAGCCTGGGCTTCCTTCCCTTTTTCACAAAGCTCACACTGAACAGCTTTTAACACAGCAGATTGTTTTGCACCTTGGTTTAGGTATCCTCAAATCATGAAGAGACATGCAGTATTAAAATATCCTTCCTGATGTAGATAAGATCATCCTGTGGGCTCGTGCTTCTTCACAAATGGTCGGTAATTATTGATGCTTCTGTAATGACTGCTGGATGAAGTCTTTCTAGAAAAAATAAAGTGCATACAGTTTTAAGAAGGAGATACAATTGCAGGCGTCATACTCACTTTATAATCCATGGGCCTTCTCACCAATATTTCATATGAAAATGTGTGTAACAGCTTTAAACAAATAGTTGAACTGCAGTGCTGGAGTGTTATGGAGGAATTCAACTTTAAGTTTAGAAACAACCTCACCCACAGGAAGTTTCTCAAAGTCTCTTTACCAGAAGTGAATGTGAAGAGAGACAAAGTCCTGCCCCCTCCTAGAGATAGACTCTATCTACGTTAAGGGAGCAACATTACATATCTATATCATTGGTAATAAAGCAATCATTTGAATATGGAAAATATTTATTGAATAGGCGCAAAATGGTATCACAACAGTTGAACAAAGATGACTTAATGCCATAATAATGATCGAAATAACTAAATACCACAACACTTCAGTAGTTGTGAAGTTTTAAATGGGGTGGGTAGTCACAATTGAAAGCTTCCACTTCCATGCATGAGTGCAAAGCTATAAGTGAACCGTAAGCAGTCAATTGTTTAGTTATTAGTTAGGAGTTATATTTACATGGCATCAGACCCTGCTGCCAGACTTCAGAAGGACTATTTGTGGAGAGTAGGTAAAGTATCAGATAAAGTAGTTTGACACCACCTTGTGGTCAAATATCGAAAAAAAGCTTCAAATATAACTGCACAGTGACTGGAGAACAAGTAAAATAGAATATTCTCAGTAAAACATACTTACATAAATTGGACAAACTAATGTTGGCTCTAGTTTGTCAGTAGATTCCCTTCTTCTATCTCTTTACACAGAGAATACTGTATGTTTACCCATGGACAATGTAGGAACAAAGTACCATATATTCACATTTTGAGATCATACAAGATAATAAAGTGTAAGTACTAGCAGAAAACAAATTATATATTAAGTGCATAAAAGGTTTTGGTTACCATTTTTTTTATTTTAATGCCAATAACATGTTTGAAAAATAATAAAATGTTCTGCCTTGTTTTCCTATTGGTGACAAGCGTATGAGAAATTCCATCATGCATTAGGCATTAGATCATTTGTTGGCACCCTGTGGTAGCATCTAGTAAGAATCATTCACTGAACAGTACATGCAGGTATAATTGCATTTGGGTTTTATTAATAATATATGTGTGTGTCCACTGTGTGCATCTACAGTGCTAAAGCATGTGTCCATACTGCATATATTAGTATCTGGCTCTAATATCACTAAATGTACAACAAGGTTAGAGCCACATGATCTGAATCAGACATGTAACAGATAAGGTTGTAACACAATGTTTTTACACTATAAGTACACAGAAAATAAGTATACAGTTGAATTGCAAAGCATTTAGCATGTTCCTAGAAAGGCCGTTATTAAAAAGGCTATTTACACAAAAGCAGCAAATACACTCAATTGCTGAAACAAGGATGTTGCTTTTCATGTGTTTATCCGTTCCATTGGTTATGTCCATGAGGATGTCTTTATTGATCTGGAAGAAAACCAAAATTAGTTATTATCATTACTTTCTGCTTGTGATACTGTTTTTGAATACAACAATGTATGTTAATGCCAACTTATTCGTCAGTGAACATATTTAAATTTGCCATTTATTAGTTACAATGTTTTAAGTAATGTTCCATTAAACCAAAACATGTCTGGAAAACAACATGCTGTATTTAAGAAAGACATGAAAATGCACAAAAAAAAAGCACTTCACAGGAACAGAGTTTCAAGGTCAGAAGAAGCCTCAGAAATCTCTAAGATAAACATTGACGATTACATTTTTTATTAAAAACTTATATTCACACATTGACTCATACATGTACAACTATGGAATATACAAAACTATACAAATACACTTGCACATAAATATGTACACACTTATTGGAACAAATTCACGAAATACACTTTAAACCCCTGTTCACATATCTTATATTTTCAATGCTGCTCATGTAATCATGGTCATACTGTATGAATGTTTTAAGACTGAATACAGAACTGGAAAAAAAAAATTCTCTTACAAAAACTAAATTGTATAATTCAGAGAAAACTAAAACAACTTTGAATGAAGTAATAACTGTCTTTTTTAGCTCTGACTCAGCAACACATCTCAAAAAGAGGAACCTGTTTTTATCATACTCACATTTTACTGACAACCAACTCTCTGGTGAGGTCCAACCACGTGCTGAATCTCTCCGTTTACATTTATAAAAGCCTTCGTCTGACTTTGACACTGCAGAGATGGTCAGCTCCCTTCTGGTATCGTTCTGGATGAGTTTGTCATTTTTATAGAAATCCAAATTATAAAGAGCAGCTTCATTATTTAACTTGCAGCTAAGAGTGACAGCAAGTCCCTCAGCCACAGGACGGACAGGACTCACCAGGATAATATCATATTCTGAAATAAAAGAATAAGAAGGCTTTGTCAGAGCAATTAGCTTTTGCAGATTTAATACAATTAGGCACAACTGGTCTAGTCTGGCAGAAGCTAAAAACAGGTAGATGTAAGAAACAATAAAACACATAGAATATTAACTGTGATCTTTGAGAGGAGTGACCCTGGAATTGACTTTGCAAATTAGCCTTTTTTATAAAGTTTTAACTTCACCTTCACATTTCAAAACAACACAATACTTCAGAAATTTTAATATTTTAAATAATGAAAACTCACTCTTCATTGTGATGTTGTCACAAGTTAGACACTTCTATTATTGTTTGTTTGGTGGCTCAACTAAACTCTCCTGTCATTTCAGATCCCGCCTTCCTCCAGGCCCTTGTAATCAGCTCACTTCCCTCACCTGGTCTCCCCAGCCCTTCCCCTCACCTGTTACTCATTCCCTCATCACTCCACAGTATTTATACCACCTCACTATCACTTGTCCTTTGCCAGATTGTCTTGTCGTTTCCACCAAGCTCTCCAGTGAGTGTTGTATTCTAGCCTAGATTTTTGTCCTGCCCGGTTTTTGATCCCTGCCTGCCTGTTTACGGATCTCGAGTTCCTGCCTGCTCCCTGTCTGGTTTTGGTTGCCTGTCTGACGGATTTACTGGTTGACCCTGCCTGTCCCTGACCTGAATAAACTGAACATTGCTATACACTGGTTGTATCTGAGTCGTGCTATTGGGTTCTGATCTGTACCTGTGATCGTGACGGAACAATCTGGCCAACATGAACCTAGCCGACTCAGCGACAGAACCGCCTACGCACGATATTGTGTTACAACGCCACGAGCAGCAGCTTACCTTCATGGCTGAAGCAATGCAGGAGATGGCCGCTCATCACGAACGGACCTTTGTGAATCTCCGTGATCATCTTCAGAACCTTCCTGCTACGGTCCAAAGTCCGGAACTAACTCCAGCTTCCGCTGTTCGAATCCAGAGTCCTCCGGCATCGGATGCACGCCTGCCTCCTCCGGAACGCTACTCTGGAGCCCCAGGTTCGTGCAGACCATTCTTGGTCCAATGTTCCCTCGCCTTCGAGCTTCAGCCTTCCGCCTTCCCAACAGAAAGATCCCGGGTGGCGTATATTGTCTCTCTTCTCACGGGAAAAGCTAAAGACTGGGGTACCGCCGAATGGGAGAGACAATCCTCTGCCTGCTCATCTGTAAGCTTATTCTCCGATGAACTGCGTAAAGTCTTTGATCACGCTACACCCGGAAGAGAGGTCGCTCGGGGACTGTTTAACCTGGCGCAAGGAGGGAGATCTGTGTCCGATTACTCCATCGAGTTTCGTACTATAGCCGCCGAGAGTAACTGGAATGCTTCTTCACTTCTCGATGCCTTCTACGGTCTGTCGGATCGCCTTAAAGACGAACTGGCAGCTCGGGACCTTCATGCTGATTTAGATTAGCTGGTGGCTCTCTCCATCCGCATTGACGGCCGTCTGCGGGAGCGGAGGAAAGAGGGGGTTTTCTCCGTCGCCCCTCAGGCTCCGCCTCCCCCGTCAGCGCATGCTACTGAACAGGTGAGAGGAGGATTTTCTAACTCTTCTGAACCAATGCAGCTGGGGCGGACCCGGCTCTCCGAGGCAGAACGACAGCGCCGCCTGCGGGACAACTGCTGTCTTTACTGCGGCCAGGAGGGTCATCTTGCCTTCTCTTGTCCTGTAAAAGGCAGGGCTCACCAGTCATCCAGAGGGCGCTGGTGAGCCGAATTATGAATTTAGAAATGCCCTCTCGACCCCTAACCCATGCTCAGCTGAGCTGCTTGGGGAAAATGCACACTGTGGCTGTTCTTATTGACTCTGGTGCTGATGCCAGTCTTTTGGATATAACACTGGCCTTTCAGATGGGACTTGGTCGGGAGGTTTTGGAGAAGCCCATCAATGCTACAGCTCTAGATGGTCGTCTTCTCTGCAGAGTGACACACCGTTCAACGCCAGTTCAAATGAGCATGTCAGGTAATCACAGCGAAACACTCTCTTTTCACCTTATCCATGCACCACATCAGCCTGTCATTTTGGGGTTTCCTTGGTTAAGGAGGCATAATCCTCATATAGATTGGGCTTCAGGGACTATTAGAGAGTGGAGTGCTCATTGTCATGCTGTCTGCTTAAGATCTAGTTCCTCAATTGATTCCAGTCAGCCGATTATCTCTGAGTGTCAAGACCTTTCTGGTGTTCCCAAGGATTACTGGGACCTTAAAGAGGCCTTTAACAAGGTTCGGGCCACCTCACTCCCGCCTCATCGTGCTAATGACTGTCCTATTGAGCTGTTACCTGGTACTTCTCCTCCTAGAGGTCGACTTTTTTCTTTATCGGCTCCTGAAACTAAGTCAATGGAGAAGTATATCAATGACTCTTTGGATGCAGGGCTTATCCGGCCTTCATCATCTCCTGCTGGTGCAGGTTTTTTCTTCGTGGGTAAGAAGGATAAGACTCTGCGCCCATGCATTGACTACAGAGGACTCAATAACATCACTGTCAAGAACAGGTACCCCCTTCCACTTGTTTCCTCTGCATTTGAACTGTTACAAGGCGCTACTATTTTTACCAAGCTGGACTTACGTAACGCGTACCATTTGGTGAGAATCCGGGAGGGGGACGAGTGGAAGACGGGATTTAACACTCCTAGTGGACATTATGAGTATTTAGTCATGCCTTTTGGACTCACCAATGCACCTGCAGTCTTCCAGGGGTTGGTGAATGATGTTCTGCGGGATCTT